ATTATTATTACTCTTTAGGCTTTTGGTCTTTACTATTTACTCCCGAAGCTCTGAGAGTAAAATAACATAAACATATATACATTAATGAGAATAACCACACTAATGCCCAAAAATGTAAACAAATTATTAGTTGTGCGTGTAACCTGACGCCTTAGGATGGTCCACAATATTTCTTCCCTTTTCTTCTGGCCACACATAGTATTTGCTAATGCATTTTCTCTTACGCATTTTATGCATTTACAGATGCGTTATCTTTAGACGCATCCGTAAATTTACATATGTCGCGGGACCTGCCCGAAACGCTGCGCGTACTAGTGGCTTTTCAAGAATGTAAATACTGTACTTTCCAATGTATTCTCACAAACCCAATGTACCTTCTTGTATGCATATAAATAAATAAATAAATAAACAAATAATTTTTTCTCAAATACCAGTATAATTTCTGTATATTATGGATGATTAAGGCCCCGCGATAAAAGACAATTCTGAGTTCAGCTTTCGTCCCATTTTTGTTAAACGTTGTGTAACTGTCAACCAATTTATAATTCCATTTAGTATAATGTTTGTCCTTCAGTACCACGCAACTTTCCTTCTGAACCTGCCATGTGGAACAGTGTTGAAAGTCTTGCAATAAGGTCAAGATAAACTGTATCGACGTAAGCTTTGCAACAATACTCTTTCATACACAAACAAATGAGTATATTTAAGAGCCATTGACCTCTCTCTGGCAAAATTCATGTGTAGGTCATATATTACAAAAACAGAAGGAATTAGCAACAGTGGGGAGAGGGGAGAGACTTAGCATCAGTGGGGAGAGGGGAGAGACTTAGCATCAGTGGGGAGAGGGGAGTGTCAGCAACACTGGGGAGAGGGGAGAGTGTCAGCAACACTGGGGAGAGGGGAGAGTGTCAGCAACACTGGGGAGAGGGGAGAGTGTCAGCAACACTGGGGAGAGGGGAGAGTGTTAGCAACACTGGAAAAAGAGAGTCAAGATAACGAGGTCAGAGAGACAAAAGAGGCCTCTTTTTATATCATTGGTTACAAATTAAGGTCAAGTGTACACTTGGTGTATGTATGAATTACATAATACATAAATAATACATACACGCATACCATTATCAAATCAGATTATCATTATTATCAATAATATACACGCATAAATTATCAAATCACCTCATTCCGCATATAGTCTTGGGGACCATTCAGGCTTGTTCGCATATATATATATATATATATATATATATATATATATATATATATATATATATATATATATATATATATACATACATATATATATATATATATATATATATATATATATATATATATATATATATATATATATATATATATATATATATATATATATATATATATATATATATATATATATATATATATATATATATATATATATATATATATATATATATATGTACACTAGCTCTACATGGCCCACACGTTGCTGTGGCTCAGCATCCACAGTAACCCCTTCCCTGTCCCTTTGTCCTCCCCCACTATTCTACACTTCCCCATCTCCTCGTCCTCCCCACCACTACCCCCTCCCCCGTCCCCTCGTCCTCCCCACTATTCCCCACTCCCTTGTACGATGCGTTCCCAAATTAGCTGATCTTCCCATCAGAAAACTGGGAACATCACATGATCTGATGTTCCCATCACTGAAAAATAAGGAGAACCATTAAAAAAACGAAATGAAAACAATGAAAAAATAAGGAAATAAACTATACTCATGAAATGAACGGTATGGCAAACAACACAGCTCAATACCAACGCAATGTCACACAAAATAATTAGATCAAAAAGAAAATAAATCAAATTCAATGAAAATTTGATTTATCAATGCAATCGGAAACACTGAAATGGAATCGTAACATATTTAGTATAGCATGTGTTGCTTTTATGTCCAACAAATGGCGCTGTTTTTCGAAAAAGCATGTTTTTACCTGTCACAGGTGTGGCATCTATATAGTAGGTATATAAAAACACGCGAGAATTCGAACGGAACGTTGTGTTTAAATTTCAAAGCAATCAGTGAAGAACTTACGGAGATTACTGCATGTGTTGCTCTTACGTCTGTAACGTACATTTATGTTACGTTGTTGGGTAAATTAGATACACAGTGTTTAGTGAGTTTCATATTTATTTAGTAGTCTTGATTAGAGTAGTCGGTTGGTGACATTGTCGTAGACGTTCAGATGAAACTTGTAGCAGAGCAGAGAGCTGAGTGAGGCCGACGTCGCGGAGCTCTATGCGGGAGAGCGTGGCGGCTCGATTGGAGAATCGTGAGTGTCTGAACTCACGGGGAGCGTGAGCATTATAGCTTGATGCGGTCGTAGTCTGCGGGGGGACGGCAGGGTGGGGTCCAGAGTGACGGCAGGGTGGGGTCCAGAGGGACAGCAGGGTGGGGTCCAGAGTGACGGCAGGGTGGGGTCCAGAGTGACGGCAGGGTGGGGTCCAGAGAGAGGGCAGGGCGGGGTCCAGAGTGACGGCAGGGTGGGGTCTGGAGTGACGGCAGGGTGGGGTCCAGAGTGACGGCAGGGTGGGGTCCAGAGTGACGGCAGGGTGGGGTCCAGAGTGACGGCAGGGTGGGGTCCAGAGTGAGGGCAGGGCGGGGTCCAGAGTGACGGCAGGGTGGGGTCCAGAGTGACGGCAGGGCGGGGTCCAGAGTGACGGCAGGGCGGGGTCCAGAGTGACGGCAGGGTGGGGTCCAGAGTGACGGCAGGGCGGGGTCCAGAGTGACGGCAGGGCGGGGTCCAGAGTGACGGCAGGGCGGGGTCCACACGAGGCCTTGAGACACAGTTATGCACCAGGCCAGCGCTGCCAACTCCAGTTCTTGTTAACAATGACTTCATCGGAAACCCGTTGAGTTACTAAACTTTGTAGCCTCGACTGAGCTTGCCAATGTAGACATACACCATAGGGTACGTACAGACATACACCATAGGGTACGTACAGACATACACCATAGGGTACGTACAGACATACACCATAGGGTACGTACAGACATACACCATAGGGTACGTACAGACATACACCATAGGGTACGTGTAGACAACCATCGCAGGATAAGTTCAAACAAACAATATATGTTAAATTAAAAGAATGAAAACATAATGCATGAAAAGTTCAATCAAACAATATAGGATTAGTTCTGAAGTCTCGGAAATTGTTTTAGATAAACTCAATTATCAGTCAAATGAGCGTCTATTATAGACCTACACTAACATTTTTTTTTGAGATATATACAAGAGTTGTTACATTCTTATACAGCCACTAGTACGCGTAGCGTTTCGGGCAGGTTCCTGGAATACGATCCCCGCCGCGAAGAATCGTTGTTACAACCAAGTACACATTTTACTGTTGAGTTGAACAGAGGCCACAGTTAAGGATTTGCGCCTAGTAAATCCTCCCCGGCCAGGATACGAACCCTGGACAAAGCGCTCGCGGAAAACATAATGCAATAACACGCTGGAAATGTTATTAACTTAAATGAGTAATTAGAAAATAATATTTTAAATTATCTATAAATAAAATGTTAAAGTTCGAACAATTGATCGTGTGGTAGTTGTATGTGGTTGGTGACCCCGCGGCCCGGTCCTCGACCAGGCCTCCACCCCCAGGAAGCAGCCCGTGACAGCTGACTAACACCCAGGTGCCTATTTTACTGCTAGGTAACAGGGGCATAGGGTGAAAGAAACTCTGCCCATTGTTTCTCGCCGGCGCCTGGGATCGAACCCAGGACCACAAGTCCAGCGTGCTGTCCGCTCGGCCGACCGGCTCCCCTTGATTGATTGTGTGGTAGTTGTGTGTGGTAGCTGTGTGTGGTAGCTGTGTGTGGTAGCTGTGTGTGGTAGCTGTGTGTGGTAGCTGTGTGTGGTAGCTGTGTGTGGTAGCTGTGTGTGGTAGCTGTGTGTGGTAGCTGTGTGTGGTAGTGGAAGTTTGTGGGATATATGGGGCTCAAGAACTGAATCCTAAAGTATATTATTTTATTGCCTGGCAATTTCAGGAAAGTTTTCGGAATACAAATAAGTTGTCAAATCTGTTGTCAAGCACTCTAGACAACTTTAGATCGATTATAAAGAAACATTAAGGTACACGAGAATGTATAAACTGGAGAGCTATATATATAGGTTATTCATGCCAACAGGTCAAGCTTAACCCGCCTACACCAGCTGTGGATCACTACTTGGTGGTTGGCGGTGTTGAAATCACCAGTCTATTATCTCTTAAAAGTGAGACGCACAATGGTATGTGATATAATGCTAGGCTTGTAAAGGTCTCCACTAATCACGCCTGACCGAGGTGCTTGCCCTGGCCGCTCTCCACGACCCTACGGCCTCATACGTCGTATATAATATTGTGTGTCTGGTCGACGTAGTGATGTTACGAGTTTATTAAAAGACATTCAATATTTTGTGTGTCAATAATAGAGCTTCGTATTTTCTCATGTTATGTCGTCATATTAGGCTTTCTATTCTGCCCTCGCAGTTTACGTGCAGCCATTGGTGTACGTACAGCTGCGTTAGTAGTGTACGTACAGCTGCGTTAGTAGTGTACATACAGCTGCGTTAGTAGTGCACGTACAGCTGCGCCAGTAGTGTACGTACAGCTGGGATAGTAGTGTACGTACAGCTGGGATAGTAGTGTACGTTCAGCTGCGCCAGTGGCGTACGTACAGCTGCGCCAGTGGTGTACGTACAGCTGCGCCAGTGACGTACGTACAGTGATGTACTCAGTCTTCACCTGGACAAACACACAGGCTTCCGTGTTGCCACAAGCACGAACACTGGCACGCCCTTAACTTAAGAAAACTGTCATCAAAATACCTTTTGGTGTTTTCACATATACTTTCCCCCTGTTCAATAATCCCCTTAGAAAACAATACCAATCCATGAAGTAATTAAGCTGAAATATATTGGGTTTTGTGAGCACAGTTAAATGGCTGCACGGCACCTCCTTTAACTTTCACCTTCAGGTCTGTCTCTCAGTGCATGACTGGACGTTGTGGTGGGAGGATGCTTCTCGTCTCTCGTTAAACTAACACACACGTGTGACATCTTAACAACATTATCATTGCTTTTGGTCACCTGTGAAGTATATCAATGGTAAAACAAGAGAAAATGTCACGCAATTTGTAGTAAAGTGATCCGGAAATAAGAGAAGTGAAGTAATATGCCAAGGTCGGTAACGTGGACGTTGTTGGTGGTGAGTGGGTTCTTATGTTGTTCCATCACAGCTGACGAACCAAAGTTCAAGTGCCCTACGACAGCGCCGTATTACTACCCGTGCTTTTGTGTGCGGGGAGGCGAGGAGGGCCTCTACCTGCGCTGCGAGAACACCAACCTCGCCTCCATTTCGGTAGGACTGGCCAACGTCAGGTTCCCCATCGAGGAACTACGCCTTTACAAGTGCAACTTTAAGAAGCTCTACGGCGATGTGTTCAAGTCCTTGCTGCTACACAAGCTGGTGCTGGAGGACACGATGGTGTCGGAGGTGGACGCCAGGGTGTTCCAGCCTGTGGCCGACACCCTGACAGGCCTGCACTTCCTCCAGGCGCCCCTACAGGCCCTCCCCAAGGCGGCCTTCGACCCCCTTAAGAAGCTGAAGGTAGGCGGGCGGTGCTGGCCAGCCACTGTACACACTCTGCACCATATGGGGGGCTGACTCCTCTCCCACAATGTTCTTCTCTATATGACTTGAGACATAGGCTTAGTGTATGTCTATTGGGACAAGGGCTTAGTGTATGTCTATTGGGACATAGGCTTAGTGTATGTCTATTGGGTCATGGGCTTAGTGTATATCTATTTGGACATGGGCTTAGTGTTTATGTATTGGGACACAGGCATATTGTATATTTATTGAGAAACTTACTACAATGCCGTAGTGCTTCAATGAAGGTGAAGGAAAGACCCAATATATGTATAAATGTATTAAAAAACAATTGTCGGATGTATCCTACATCCTTTCTCAAGGTGCTGTATACAATGTTCTCTACTGTATACAGGACCTTGAGAAAAGTTATAGGTTACAACCAAAAATTTGTTTTTAATATATTTTACATATATTGGATCTTCCCTTCACATTCATATATTTATTGGTACATAGGCTTAACTTCCATGTATTGTACACAGGCTTAGTGTATGCGCAGCCCCATCCTCCTGTTTTGATAGTATTTAAAGGAAGCATAAAGACCATAGTTCTTATACAGACCTATAACGCAATTAGAAAGTAGAAATCGGTACTATTGAAGTAGGACAAACCGGAAAACGATTTTTTACGTATGTAGCAATGACACACTAAACTAACCTAACATAACCTCTTAGGCCTAATACAGGCTATCTGAGGCCTAATATAGTACATATGTGTGCTATACTAGGCCTAGGAATATTTAAGTTTGGTTTTAGCTTAATTTTTGTCAGACTATAAAGTGAATATTATAAAGTTCTACTATCTTATTGCTTAGTACATTAATGTTTATACTGTGGTGCTCATAGTTACAAGGTGTACTATCTGAACACGAGGATGGCTTGTGGTGTATGTATGTAGACATATGATTACTGTGCATATATTGTGATAAATGTCCAGTGTAGATGTATGAGGAGAGGTCCAGTGTAACTGTATTGGGAGAGGTTCAGTGTAACTGTATTGGGAGAGGTCCAGTGTAACTGTATTGGGAGAGGTCCAGTGTAACTGTATTGGGAGAGGTTCAGTGTAACTGTATTGGGAGAGGTCCAGTGTAATTGTATTGGGAGAGGTTCAGTGTAACTGTATAGGGAGAGGTCCAGTGTAATTGTATTGGGAGAGGTCCAGTGTAATTGTATTGGGAGAGGTTCAGTGTAATTGTATTGGGAGAGGTCCAGTGTAACTGTATGGGAGAGGTCCAGTGTAACTGTATTGGGAGAGGTCCAGTGTAATTGTATTGGGAGAGGTCCAGTGTAACTGTATTGGGAGAGGTCCAGTGTAACTGTATTGGGAGAGGTCCAGTGTAACTGTATTGGGAGAGGTCCAGTGTAACTGTATTGGGGGAGGTCCAGTGTAACTGTATTGGGAGAGGTCCAGTGTAACTGTATTGGGAGAGGTCCAGTGTAACTGTATTGGGAGAGGTCCAGTGTAACTGTATTGGGAGAGGTCCAGTGTAACTGTATTGGGAGAGGTCCAGTGTAACTGTATTGGGAGAGGTCCAGTGTAACTGTATTGGGAGAGGTCCAGTGTAGATGTATAGGGAGGGGGTCCAGTATAGATGTACAGGGAGGGGTTCAGTATAGATGTATAGTGATACAGGTCCAGTGTAGATGTATGAGGAGGGGTCCAGTATAGATGTATGGGGAGAGGTCCAGTATAGATGTATGATGCGGAGTCCAGTGTAGATGTATGGGGAGAGGTCCAGTGTAAATGTATGGGGAGAGGTCCAGTATAGATGTATGAGGAGGGGTTCAGTATAGATCCGGGAAGACGTGAGCATCTGGGAATGTGGTGACGTAGGCTCTCATACCGGTAAAAGGTCCCATTAACCCACTTCAAGGACTCAGGTGTCCGGTCTTTTAAGCGTCTAAATGTATTCCGTCCAATAAATTAAATATTTCAGCGTTATAAACAGGTCGGGGGCCGTCCACAGTGGTCGGGACGAGTGCCTGCACTCTGGCCTTTCACTTCAGTACTTATTAACCTAAATGTTATTATGTTCTCAATAAATGTAAAATATAAAGCAGGCAAGCAACACGGACACAATAAGGTAAACACACACACACTAGACCGTAAAGTGTGGTAAATACGTTGCTTTGTTTGCCCATTACTGGCTCTCTTAACCCCGGTTTCTAGCAACCGGGGTTTAACGTGTGTTATATTACTAATGTTTTCTCAAAACTAGTCTGGCGCTAGATTCACGAAAGCACTTACGCAAACACTTACGAACCTGTACATCTTTTCTCAATCTTTGGCGGCTTTGTTTACAATTATTAAACAGTTAATGAGCTCCGAAGCACCAGGAGGCTGTTTATAACAATAACAACAGTTGATTGGCAAGTTTTCATGCTTGTAAACTGTTTAATAAATGTAACCAAAGTCGTCAAAGATTGAGGAAAGATGTACACGTTCGTAAGTACTTGCGTAAGTGCTTTCGTGAATCTGGCCCCTGGTCTCCAACCTCAGACAGCCATTCACTTCTATAACGACACGGTGCTCCTATAGGGACGGAACACTTACATGCAACATAATGGAGAAGCAAATCAACAGAAACTTTGACAGATCCAATCAAAGAGTAAACAAAACTATATAAAATAGACCTAACGGTATGTTAAGTTAAATCTTTATTCTCAATATAAAACAAAATATTTTGTTATAAAGCAAACAGTGTTTGAATGAGAGAGTTAAGTGTTGGAAAGCTTGCTGTGGCTGACGCTAGCCTAATTACCGGCCGTGAAGAATGCTCTAGTTCTCACCTCAAGAAAATTGGCTGTGTAAAATAGTTTCCCCGTAGGTCTAGTAAGAGCTCGTCTGTAAGATGACCAAGCCGGTAATTAGTAGAGTTGAATAGCCTGAGACCGCTTCTTTTTTTTTGAGATATATACAAGAGTTGTTACATTCTTGTACAGCCACTAGTACGCGTAGCGTTTCGGGCAGGTCCCTGGAATACGATCCCCAGCCGCGAAGAATCGTTGTTACAACCAAGTACACATTTTACTGTTGCGTTAAACAGAGGCTACAGTTAAGGATTTGCGCCCAGTAAATCCTCCCCGGCCAGGATACGAACCCATGAACCCTGTTACAACTAGATGTGACCAGTTGGTCAAGTTACTGCCATCAGTAACGTGCGTCATACGTTGGTCGCTTGATAAGGTTACCTTACCTTGAGGTTACCTTGAGGTGCTTCCGGGGCTTACCGTCCCCGCGGCCCGGTCGTCGACCAGGCCTCCTGGTTGCCGGACTGATCAACCAGGCTGTTGGACCTCCTGGTTGCTGGACTGATCAACCAGGCTGTTGGACGCGGCTGCTCGCAGCCTGACGTACGAGTCACAGCCTGGTTGATCAGGTATCATTTCGAGGTGCTTATCCAGTTCTCTCTTGAACACTGTGAGGGGTCGGCCAGTTATGCCCCTTATGTGTAGTTAAGGTCACGATAATAGAGTATACGATAATGTATACAAATGGGTATACCCGTGTACACCGCCATAATATGACCATTCGTGTTTTCATATTAAATGATAATAATTACTTAACTCTAAAATAATATCCTGGTGTTTTAATTAGATAATTAAAGAGCCGGAGGCTGGTGATCATCTCTGGACTTACAGTCCAACACCTGTCGACGGTCAACACATGTAGAGCAGTCCAACACCTGTCGACAGTCAACACATGTAGAGCAGTCCAACACATGTTGACGGTCAACACATGTAGAGCAATCCAACACCTGTCGACAGTCAACACATGTAGAGCAGTCCAACACATGTTGACGGTCAACACATGTAGAGCAATCCAACACCTGTCGATAGTCAACACATGTAGAGCAGTCCAACACATGTTGACGGTCAACACATGTAGAGCAATCCAACACCTGTCGACGGTCAACACATGTAGAGCAGTCCAACACCTGTCGACGGTCAACACATGTAGAGCAGTCCAACACCTGTCGACGGTCAACACATGTAGAGCAGTCCAACACCTGTCGACGGTCAACACATGTAGAGCAGTCCAACACCTGTCGACGGTTAACACATGTAGAGCAGTCCAACACATGTTGACGGTCAACACATGTAGAGCAATCCAACACCTGTCGACAGTCAACACATGTAGAGCAGTCCAACACATGTTGACGGTCAACACATGTAGAGCAATCCAACACCTGTCGACAGTCAACACATGTAGAGCAGTCCAACACCTGTCGACGGTCAACACATGTAGAGCAGTCCAACACCTTTCGACGGTCAACACATGTAGAGCAGTCCAACACCTGTCGACAGTCAACACATGTAGAGCAGTCCAACACCTGTCGACGGTCAACACATGTAGAGCAGTTCAATACCTGTCGACGGTCAACACATGTAGAGCAGTTCAACACCTGTCGACAGACAACACATGTAGAGCAGTTCAACACCTGTCGACAGTCAACACATATAGAGCAGTTCAACACCTGTCGACAGACAACACATGTAGAGCAGTCCAACACATGTCGACGGTCAACACATGTAGAGCAGTTCAACACCTGTCGACAGTCAACATAGTAATGAACTAACTTCTCGGCTGTATTTTCATATATAATAATAATAATGTTTATTCAGGTATAAGTACATACAATCAAAATGAGTTACAAACATATATTTATTTATTTTATTTATTTATGTATTTATATACAAGAAGGTACATTGGGTTTATTAGAGTACAGAGACTTGGAGTTTTACATTCTTGTAAAGCCACTAGCACGCATAGCTTATCGGGCAGATCCTTAATCTAACATAATGTTGAATCTAACAAAATGTTGAATTTCAAGATAGAGCTAGTACATACTGTGCCTAAAGCCACGAAAACGCGCAGCGTTTCGGGCAACTGAAAACGGGTATAACTTTAAAAGAAAAATTCGGGTGATTGGATAAGAAAATGGGTCAACAAGTGTTCTGAGAGACTATGCAAGGTCTTCTTTGAATACCTTTTATTCCTTGAGGTTGTGAGTTCCCCACACTTGCAGCACAGGAATATATATTTCCTTATACTTTTGAATATTAAATGTTATAAAATCTGCAAAGCCACTAACCCACATAGCTTTTTCGACGCGCAAGAACAATGATTATAAACAATTTTACAAATGTGCACACACATTAATAACCTCTTGTCTGTGTGTGTTTGGTGTACACGGATGTGAGATGCTGTAGTTGGGGCTACTACAGGAAGTAGGATCCCCACCAAGCAGTAACGGGACTGACAATTACTACTGCTGAGCTAGCTGCGATAACGACTTCTCTCCCCCTCGCCAACCCTCTTTTATTCTGGCCGCATTTGTTCATTATAAGCAGTGAACCTAAAGTGCTGCCAGAGCTTGGATAGAATCTCGCTACCGGAGAAGTATGAACATTTTCACCGTGGAATATAATGATGGATACATGAAGAATTTAAATAGGATGTGGAATCCTGAATCACCGTTTTATAGAAATTTCATAGTCGTAGTTTGGGACGAGTAGGCTTGAGAGATGGTAGTATATATAATGGCAATGTTGACAGAAAAAAAACATATTAATGCTGGTATTTGAAGTAGGAATTGTGTAGATGAATCGGAGGCAAGTTGTGTTTAATAATTTGCTTCGTGACATCAATTAAAATTATTTGGTCGTTTGGAGAGGCAGATATAGCCTAGTGACAAGGAAACTTTGGAATGAACAATAACATTATAAAATACACTATCTTGGGTAATATGGTTGGTCTCATTGGTCGAATGGGCGCGAAAATAGTAATTAAATTGGACCATCTGTAATACGGTTGGGGGTGAGGATAGATCTATAGGCTAGCGTAGAATTGAAAGTCAAATTCCGAGCACTGTTGTTCTTCAGACGCTGGAGATGGTGGGGGCCAACCTGACGCGTCTGCCAGCTTCCGTGTTCACCAGTCTCACTAGTCTGGAGACTCTTCAACTCAACCACTGTGCTCTCAAGAACGTCAACCAACAAGCTTTCCAGGTGAGTCGCCACCAGCTGCCGCCCTCCTGGTGTGGTCGCCATCATGTTATTGGCGTTATTATTATTATTGTCTTTATTATTATTATTTGTTATTATTATTATTATTATCTTTATTATTATTATTATCTTTATTATTATTATTATTATTATTATTATTATTATTATCAATAGTAGTACTAGTTGTTACGGTAGTCGGCCTTGTAGAAATATTAGCAGTGACGGTAATTGTAGTCGTGGTAGTAATGATAGTAGTGATAGTAACAGTAGCGACAACAGTAGCATCAGTAGCAGTAATAGTAGCAGCACTAGTAGTAGTAGGTGGTGGTGGTAGTAGTAATAGTAGAAGTAATGTAGTAGAACAGGACCAGCAAGAGAAATAGCATAGGAATAATAACATAATCTGTAGTATAAAGTGTCGAGGATAACCTTAGGTATTAGCAGTAAGGTTAATGTATGCACACCACAGGGGATGCCCAAGCTGAAGAAGGTGAGCCTCAGCCACAACGAGCTGGCCACCATACCCAACGGTGTCTTCAAGAACAAGCGTGAAGTGAGAGCCCTCGACCTTTCCCACAACAAGTTTACCAAACTGGATCTCGCATACTTCCAGGTCAGTACTGGTAAATGGGTTGGGGGAGGAAGGGAAAGATAGCTTGGTAATATATTCAGGCTTGTATTGGGAGACAAGATGCCTTCTAGGTTAATACCAGAATATGGAGTTTGGTAAATGTCAATGACGGAGGAGAGGGCGTTCTTGCTCCTATTTTTTTTTTTTTGAGATATATACAGTTGTTACATTCTTGTGCAGCCACTAGTATGCGTAGCGTTTCGGGCAAGTCCCTGGAATACGATCCCCGCCGCGAAGAATCGTTTTTACAACCAAGTACTGTTGAGTTGAACAGAGGCTACAGTTAAGGATTTGCGCCCAGTAAATCCTCCCCGGCCAAGATACGAACCCATGACAAAGCGCTCGCGGAACGCCAGGCGAGTGTCTTACCACTACGCCACGGAGACTGTCAAAAGGTTTTAAGGAAGGTTTATTTAGGTTTAAGGAAGATGGGTCAGGACGGATAAGACAGGTTTCTTCCTATTTCATTATCAGGAAGAAACTTCCTTATATACTACATATAGTCTTGGTCCGAATATTAAAACAATTCCCGTATAATAAAGTATTTTAAATTTTGTTGATAAGACTAGCAGAATAATTTACAAAGGGCATGGTAATCAATATCGCATTATGTTAAAAAGAGTACATTGTCCAAGAGTATGTTAAAAATAACATTTATGTAGATTAATCCTGAAAAGAGCATTTGTGTAGGTTCATGTTAAAAAACAGGGATTAGTACTTTACTGAAAAAAAAATATTAAAAAAGTGCTCATCTGTACGCTACACCATTCTTTCACCTCGTCCTCATATTATAACTTTTGTTCCTCATATCCCTTTCAATTGTTATATGTAGTTATATTGGCTTAGCGTTTTCTCATAATTACCTTACCTCTAATAGCCTAAGGGGGGGTAGAAATAGCCTAAGCTACTCTATCCCTTTGAGATGTATTTATTGCTTATCTCAATAAACATACTTGAACTTGAAGTTGAACCTTACCTCTCCATAACCCGTGTACGCTATCCCCAGGACCTGAGTCAGCTGACGTACTGCAACATGTCCCACAACCAGATCAACAACTTCGGCAGGAATCCCTTCGCCAGGAATAATGTGCTGGGTTGGCTCAGCCTCGCCCACAACCGCCTGGCCAGGATCGACGCTCAGACCTTCAGGTCCATGAGGTTCCTCCGGCGGCTCTACCTCAACGACAACCTCATCAACAATGTAAGTCCCAGACCCTGACCCACTTCTAGGGATACTTACCCTTAATACTGACATTGTTTGTGTCAACTGTGTAAGTCAACATACACTACGGAATATTCACACTGACAAATAATTTTCAGTGCAGTCGAATTAAACATATAATATGGTTTTTATTTAAATAATGTTAGCTGACTGGATGTATTCCAATTAAAAACGTCTTAATTTTTCATAAATGTGTGTGTGTGTGTGTGTGTGTGTGTGTGTGTGTGTGTGTGTGTGTGTGTGTGTGTGTGTGTGTGTGTGTGTAATAAATTTGCTTAAAGTGTACACCCATACAGTTTTACTTGACCGCACTAAAATATTAATGTGTGTCTCCGTGGCAGGTGGGTCGCGCCGCCTTCAGTAACATGCGGCGTATAGGAACCATCGACCTCTCGCGCAACAAGCTCAAGCAGGTCGACACCAAGATATTTGATGATTTCCAGTACTGTGAACTTATCAATTTAGCAGAGAATGAAATAACCACAATTCAGAAAAATGCTTTTGTTAGTCTTTTTTTGGTGGCTATCAACATAAGCCACAACCAGATCACAACATTCGAGAAAGAAGCGTTCGTTAACACTAACAATATTACAGTGCTCGATCTCTCTTACAACAATATATCAGAAATACCCAAAGAAGCCTTTTCGGGTACGAACAGTTATATGACCGACCTGCGATTACAGTTTAACAATATAACCGATCTTTCTCATGTAACTTTGCAGTTCTCTGGAATAAAAATTCTTAATGTATCATATAACAGAATTGAAACAATTCCAAGACGAACATTTCCTGAGCTGTTTGAACTGCATACCATCGACGCAAGCCATAACCAGATCCATACCATCGGCAGGAGTGTGTTTGCCGGCCTCTTCTCCATTAGAAACATGAACTTCAGTTACAACAATATGGACACGCTCTTCGGTAGCATCTTCGGGTCCCTCCCGACCCTCCTCAGCTTAGACATGTCACATAACCGTCTCAGCAAGGTCTCTCGAGGCATCTTCGCAAGTCTGGTGTCACTGCGAGAACTGTGGGTTAACAATAACGCCATCTCTAGTGTGTTCCTCATCCCACAATCACTCAACTACCTCTACCTGCAGCACAACAACATCTCCAGTATCCGTCCTGGCCTCACCTGGCCTCTGATGAATGCTCTCCTTTATCTAGACTTGGACCACAATCATCTAGGAGACTCTATGGGAGGGGGTACCTTCCAGAATCTTAACTCACTCCGTTCTCTTAGTCTCAACAACAACTCCATAACGGAACCACCATGGCAAGCGTTTAGTGAGATGCAGACTTTGCAATACCTGAATCTTGATTACAACAACATCACTAACCTCACGAGAGGGGCGTTTGGTCGTCTCCCAGTTGTGTTCAGACTCAATCTGGCTTACAATGGTATGACTAACATCAGCAAACAATCATTTGAAGGGCTTCTGCAGCTACTCACCCTGAACCTCTCGCATAATGCCCTTCATCATATCCCCAACGAGGCATTCAGAGGTTGTGTATCAATGCAAAGTATAGATTTATCCCATAATTTCCTTAAAAAAATTGACAATGAAACTAATGGGCTATTTGACGACTTGTTGTCAATCCGGCACATCAATGTTTCACACAATCTCTTCGGCACTGTGTCCAAGAAGATGTTTCCATACCACAAGTGGATCCCATACAACGTGCAGTCGGTGGACATGAGTTACAACCTCATGCCCGTCCTCCACAAGAACCTACTTATTGGCTTACAGAAGGTTAAACGACTTAATATCTCCCATAATCTCCTCAATGAAATACGACCCAACGTTATTGGCAATCTGACGAAACTTGAGGTCCTGGATTTATCTTCCAACGACCTGGAGGCCCTTAGTAACACCGTGTTTGGACGAGGAAAGTCCTTACGGGAGGTGTACCTCCAGAACAATAGCCTCATCTCCGTCCCAGCTCACATTTTCATGTCTAACGAGAACCTCACCTACCTCGACCTCTCTGATAACAACCTCAATCATTACTACGAAGATTTTGTACCTAGAGCCATCAATGGAACGACCATAAGGTAATACTATCTTTTAGACAGGACCTCCATCAGTCTCATTGCTATCTCTTGTCACATATCAACGATCCCAACATTATATCCACAACCTGTCAATCATATAGATCTGCTATTAATCGTTGCCATCATATAGACCATCCGTTAATCATAAAGTACACAATCATCTGTGTAAATATGTTTCGTGTACACTAACATTGTGAGTGTGTTGCGTGTACACCAACATTGTGAGTGTGTTGCAGGTACACCAACATTGTGAGTGTGTTGCGTGTACACCAACATTGTGAGTGTGTTGCGTGTACACCAACATTGTGAGTGTGTTGCGTGTACACCAACATTGTGAGTGTGTGTTGCGTGTACACCAACATTGTGAGTGTGTGTTGCGTGTACACCAACATTGTGAGTGTGTGTTGCGTGTACACCAACATTGTGAGTGTGTTGCGTGTACACTAACATTGTGAGTGTGTTGCAGGTACACCAACAACCCCGTGGTGTGTGACTGCTCGCTGCGTCGAGTGCGGGCGTGGTTGGACACGTGGCTGGGGTCTGGGAGGTGGCGGGACGTGGTGTGCGGCGCCCCGCTGCACCTGGCGGGCCGCCCGCTGCCCGCCGTCAGCGAGGAGGAGCTCCGGTGTTCAGACGAGCGTCGCGCTCTTGATCAATACCAGGTGAATATAACCAACATGTTGTTATAGATTCAGCTACTCGGAACAGGTTCCAAGTAGCACGGGCTATGGTGAGCCCGTAACTTACCTGGCACAGGAGCGGGGCAAGTAGCACGGGCTATGGTGAGCCCGTAGTGGACTTACCTGGCACGGGAGTGGTGCCGTCTCTGTGATAACCAACACTTTTGGCTTATAATTATAGCATAGAATATAGGAAAGTCTTTCCCCTGACATGTGTATTCCAGGACTAATAAGTACTCTTTTGAGGGTCCGGGTGGTACAGTCGGGTTCGTTCTCGACTCACAATCAAGAATTCCGGGTTCGAATCCCGGGTGGGACAGACTTATTTGAATGAATTAAGCGGGAAACAACAATCTTCAATCTTATCTATATATCGGCGACAAACTTAATTGATTCATAAAAAAAACATTAACTTGCACTACTTGTTAGTCAAGATATCAGCGTTTTCTCTAAACATGTTATACTATGTAATTCGCCCCCTCTAAACACCAGACATGCAGTACATTGTACCCTAAACACTAGACATGCAGTACAATGTACTCTAAATATCAGACATGCAGTACAATGTACTCTAAACATCATACATTCAGTACAATGTACTCTAAACATCATACATTCAGTACAATGTACTCTAAACATCAGACATGAAGTACGGTTCCTGTAGACGAGTGTCATACGACACCTTTCCCTACCCCCCCTTGTGCAAATATGAACTCTACAAATACTGTACAATGATACCAATAACCCTGGATGATTATTTCCCAGGTGAACCCGGATGTGAGGTTCCGACTACTTGGGGAGAACCCCGACGAGCTGGAGCATCTGGATGTGTCGTGGTACGTGACGACGAGGGAGGATGTAGGGGGCTTTAAAGTCATGGTGTACAACATCAGCTCGGGCAAAGAGGTGGTCCAACGCCCCTACCCCTACACGGCCCGGCGGGGCATGTTCTCAGACGTGCCGCGGGGCAGGTCAGTCTTCAGGTTCCCCCTTCCCAAGCAGCAAGCAGTACTCAGCTAAACAGCTTCCAGGGCCGAGCGTCACCTGCTGGGCCCCGCCTTTCTAACTCTCGGGTTGTCTGATGATGACTCCCGACGCCTCATATTTCTTGTCATATGTTCTAACTAAAATCTATTCAATGGAGTTTTTACCTCCTGCCGTTTAACTCACTGCACGTGCTCGCTGTCCTCACATTGAGGAAGTGCTGCCTTATCCCTAGTGGCCATCTGCATGCATGGCTTCAAGCATGCCCACTCCATCTAATGTTTCTCATCTTGATAACACTTATTTTAAATTTTGTCGATACCCCTAAATATCCTGCACGTCTGGATCATGACCCCTCTGGCTCTTCTTATTTTTTAGGAGAGAATACTTTTAGTACATCGATCTTGGTTAGTTTGCTTTATATTTTGGCTATATGACATAAATATGTATGTAACTTTAGGGCTGTATTATAATATCAATTCTCTCATAAACCAATATTTTATGGCCTTTCCTTTTTCAGCATATTCAATTTTCAATTTCCGTTCTCTTTTCTCTACAGTATATGAAAGCCAAAATTAATCATTTCCTTTTATCTAAGAATTTTATAAACGGAAAAATGTTTGTTTTGATAGTAAGTTTCTTATACACTACGAAAGCACATTTCCATAGTACTAAACCAACCTGTCCTCGGAAGAAATGGGTTAATGAGGGATGGATTGAGAACGACTACATAATTAGTACTATTACTTACTCTCCATCCATGGTTAGGTTAGCGTAAGGTTACTTTATGTTAAGTTTTGGTTAGGTTAGTGTTCATTACATTTGGTTACGTTAAGGTGGTGCATTGTTGATGATAATGTGAAATATGGAATTTGAAAACTATTTCGGTGTCCTCGAGAATTCCGTTTACAGAAAACCATATTAATCAAAGAAAACGTTTTCAGCGTATACTTTTTATATTTTAAACACAACGATTTTATAATAGAATTGCATACAATTTCGAATTGCTTGAGAATAATCTCTATTTAGGATAAAAGCTCACTTGCCAGTTTACATGTAGACTACTACTGGAACCGCATTATACTTTCAGACCATCACAAATATCTAGATAAATATCCAGATGGTTTGATGGGGGGGAGGGGTCCTCATGGTAATGGATTATGTCTGAGGACAGGCTCAACTAACTATACTTCTTATTTGTTTAAATATTATCTAAAGAATTTTATTAATAATGAAAATTATGATCGATAGGCAGTTATCCAGTTGCCATGATGACCAAAACTTGAAATTAATAACATTGCACAAAAATCACATTAATGTGATGTCACTGAGAAAGTCAATTGATTTTCTTATTGATGCATCACATTAATGTGATTTCTTTGTGCATTTGAAGGGAGTGTTAGTGGAAGGACCTCATATATTACACCAGAGTGTTTGCGGGTAATGTGTAAAAACTTGATTTTGTGTCAATTCGATGCCCCAAGACCCCTTGTGGATTCAATTGAATCCCAGGTTACATTATTTATAAAATATCGTGGTTCAGTGGTTTAAGGCATGTACGTGCTTGGGAGTACGCATGGTGCAGGTTCGAATCCTCTGCACGGCTCTAACTGATTTTCTTACAAATAACAATGGTACGCATAAAGCATCATTAAGTGGGTTCAAATACTGTTGGTTAAAAGATCTAATAAACAAAATATCACTGATGGATAGGCTACTTGTAAATGTAGGCCAACTCTCTTTAAACATCGTATTGGCTGATGGAATATAACATGAATATTTCGTAACTGGTGGTAATCTCTATCTAATTACAACTGAGATAACCGTTGTATTAATTGTTGGTGATTTGTTTAGGTACAGAGTGTGTGTGGGAGTGTCAGACTCAACGAATGGGACGCGAGCTCTCCAACCTTCCCAGTGCCAGGGATTCTACGTCAGTCACGCCCACACGCCCACGCCCACTTCCTTCCTTCTCCTTGCCACCCTCGTGCTCCTCCTAGGATTTAGGTGACTTTCGCTCGAGGCTACTATAATTGATTGTTATAATTATGCTGTACAAACTGTTGCTTATAGTTCTCTAGTACGAGGGCTTCAACTACAAAGTATGTCAAGATATTCCTATGAGAATAATGACAATCATTAAGTTAAATAATGTGAACCTCTTGATTGTGTTTTCCAGTAAGACGTACGATGACTTGTTTCATGAACATAATAACTATAGCATTTGTGTAAGGTAAATTGAATATAATTATAATACCTCGAGTATGATCAAATGCAAATCCACATTATCACGAGTAATAATATTTAATTCACTTGGGCACTCAGAGATTCAAGCTTGAGCCTTAAATATAAAAGACCATCACCCTAGCTCCAGGCCATGATGCTTCAAATGAGGTTTAGTCACAGTTGAGTACCCCTTATATATGTACTTCTGAAACCTTTGTTGACCAGACCACACACTAGAAGTTGAAGGGACGACGACGTTTCGGTCCGTCCTGGACCATTCTCAATCGACTTGAGAATGGTCCAGGACGGACCGAAACGTCGTCGTCCTTTCAACTTCTAGTGTGTGGTCTGGTCAACATACTTCAGCCACGTTATTGTGACTCATCGCCTGCTTCTGAAACCTTTCCTTATTGTGAGCATCCTGGGTTGTGGCTACAGTGCCTTGTTTCTTATTTTTCTGACCAGAGTTCGAATTTTCAAGGGTTCAAATAAAAACTGAAAGGTATTCCACTATTGTCCAACATGTTTTATAACCCGTGCCTGACTCAGTCTGGTGACCCGAGGTGACCAGTGGTTGGCTGCTCTCTACACTATACGAACTGAAACTTGAAGTAAAGTAAGAGTTTCAGAGTAGAGTTCCCACATGTGGGCTCTATTGACTATAGCAGCTGATAATCACAATGTTTACATTCATACCATTGTGATTATCAGTCCATATATTCAGTACTGTATTTCTCTTCTTAATTTATAATGTGTGCAATAAAACTGTTTCATATGAGTATACCTTGATGTATTAGACTGGCGTCACTAATCTGTAAATATACTGCATAATTTTATGTAGTAATCGTGTATATATTATTATGTCCTCATGTTCATATTATCTCTCGTGCTGTATAATACTAAAAATAAATCATTGTGTTACAAAATGCTTTTGATTTAAAAAAAATTAATTGTAACCTCCAAAATAAATGGAAGATTAATTAAGTTGTGTGTATTTGCAGTGCAGTTATCTTAAAAAATATATATTTATCAAAAAATTTTCCTCATAAAATATTTCAGCCCATTGTCACTACATATTACTACATTAGTAAAAGGAAACGTGCGCAACCATTTCTGTCCCACACGGGAATCGAACTCAGGATTCGGGATTGTGAGTCGAGTACCCAAAGAGCCGACTGATAGTTCTGTAGCGAGTAATCCTTATACTCGCTCCATTATTTCATTTTTTTTTTTAGATATATAGAAGAGTTGTTACATTCTTGTACAGCCACTAGTACGTGTAGCCCTTCGGGCAGGTCCCTGGAATACGATCCCCTGCCGCGAAGAATCGAAATTATAAATATAAATAAATAAATAAATATGTTTATTCAGGTAAGGTACATACATACAAGTGATGTTACATTAATGGATTGATATATAGATAGAGCTAGTACATACAATGCCTAAAGCCACTATTACGCAATGCGTTTCGGGCAAGAAAAACATTAATATCTAGAACTTAATACTAATTGAGCATAAAGAATAAAAAGTGTTGAAAACAAATACAAATAAAGATAAAAAAAGGGGGAACATGACTGAAAAAGCAGCACAAATACAATAGGTTGACAAACAGTGTTGATTAAAAAAAAATATAATAATAATAAAATAAAATAACAGACATGGGTTGACAATAAAGGAGTGAGGTGGGTTACAGGGAATTTATTAGGTATTGTTTAGTTTTTATCTTAAACTGGTTGAGAGAGGTACAGTCTTTAACATGGTTGGGAAGGTCATTCCACATTCTGGGTCCCTTGATTTGTAGAGCATTTCTAGTTTGATTAAGTCGTACTCTAGGAATATCAAAACTGTATTTATTCCTGGTGTGGTGCTCATGGGTTCTGTTACAACCTTCAATGAAGCTTTTGAGGTCAGGATTGGCATTACAGTTCAGCGTTTTATATATGTATAATACACAAGAGAGAATGTGCAGTGACTTAATATCTAACATATTCAGAGATTTGAGTAAGGGTACCGAGTGATGTCTGGGGCCAGAGTTGGTTATTGTCCTAATAGCAGCTTTGTGTTGGGTAATGAGAGGACGTAAATGATTTTGGGTAGTAGAACCCCAAGCACAAATACCATAGTTGAGGTATGGATAGATGAGGGAGTAATAGAGAGTAACCAGAGCAGGGCGGGGTACATAATATCTGATCTTAGAAAGAATGCCAACAGTTTTTGAAACTTTTTTTGATATATTTAGAATGTGACCCTGGAAATTCAGCTTGTGGTCGATGAGAACGCCAAGGAATTTGCCATCTAATTTGTTACAAATTTGGGTATTGTTTATTTTGAGATTTATCTGATTAGAGGATTTATTGCCAAACAGAATATAAAACGTTTTGTCAATGTTAAGGGTGAGTTTGTTGGCAGTTAGCCAAAGATGGACTTTCTCTAGCTCAGTATTTACTGTGGCATTTAGAGCAAGGGGGTCAGGACTGGAGTAAATGAAGGTTGTGTCGTCAGCAAATAGAATTGGTTTGAGGTGTTGGGAGGCATTTGGAAGGTCATTAATGTAGATGAGAAAGAGGAGAGGGCCAAGTATGCTGCCCTGAGGAACACCAATGTTGATGGGTAGGGTGGGAGAAATTGTATTATTCACAGAAACATACTGGAGCCTGTCAGTAAGATAAGATTTGAGGTATTGCAGGGAGTGTCCTCTGACTCCATAATGATGTAATTTAAGAAGAAGGTTTTGATGGTTGACAGTGTCAAAAGCCTTACGCAGGTCCACAAATAACCCAACAGGAAACTCCTTTTTATCAAGAGCTGCGTGAATTACGTTAATCATACTAATAAGTGCATCGTTAGTGCTTTTTTTGGGTCTGAAGCCATATTGACAAGAGCTAAGTATATTGTGTTTGGCTAGAAAAGAGTAAAGCTGCTTGTAGATTAGCTTTTCGAATATTTTTGACAAGTTAGGCAGGATTGATATAGGTCTATAGTTGTTAACATCAGTGAGATCACCACATTTGTAGACAGGGGTTACTCTTGCTTTTTTTAGAATGTCAGGAAAGGTTTGGAGTTCAAGTGACTTGTTGAAGAGCAATGCAATAGCAGGGGCTAGAGATCTGGAGGCTTTTTTGTAAATTAAAGTTGGTATCTCCTCGAGGGCACTAGACTTGGTTTTAAGGGAAAGGATTATTTCATTGACATCAGTGGAACTAGTAGGCTTTAGGTACAGAGACTGTGGATAGTTACCTGTAAGATAGTCCTTAACATCAGTACAGGAAGATGGAATATCATTTGCAAGGGATGACCCAATGGAAGAGAAGAACCTATTGAACTCAATAGCAGAATCAGAGGCTGAAAGCTGACCAACGTTATTGGAAAGGAGTGTTGGTTTGTTATTTAAAATCTTCTTTGATCCCAATATTTGTGAAATTGTGCTCCAAGTTTTTTTAATGTTGCTCTTTATTTGGGTAAATTTATCTTCATAGTATTTAGTTTTGGCTCGTCTAATTATTTTAGATAGCAATAACGAGTAATTCTTTGAGAAATCTTTGGAGACTGTTCCTAGCCTATACTTCTTCTCAAGGTCGTGTTTTTTGTTAATGGATTTAAGTATTCCCTTTGTAAGCCAAGGATTGTTAAGTCTTTTGCTTGTGACTTGTTTTGTAAGCATAGGACAGTGGGTGTTATAAAGACTAAGAGTTGTTTGTAGAAAAGATTTCACTGCTAGGTTGATGTCCCCTATGTTACCTAACTCGGACTCCCAGTTGACATTATCAGCAGCAGTTATAAAATTGTTTATAGCAGTTTCATTGTGCAGCCTAAAGCTTAACTCCCTTGTCTCTAGAGGTGGTTTGCTAATGTTAGTTAAGAGAAATGTGGGGTAATGGTCTGTAGTGCTATCGGTGATTATACCTGAAGTAAGCGGAGAGGTTATGTTGGTCCAGATGTGATCTAGAGTCGTAGCAGTACTATCAGTGATTCTAGTTGGTCTAGTGATTAAGGGTATGAGGAAGCAGGAATTCATACAGTTGAGGAAGCTAACAGCAGTAGGGTGTTCAGGCTCGCAGAGGTCAATATTAAAGTCCCCTGCGATAATTAGATGGTTTTTGTTCAATCTGTTATCTAGTATTAGATTTCTAAGGTTTGAGTTGAATTCAGACACATCAGTGTTAGGAATTCTATAGACTGCACCCACAGACAGGACAGACTCGGCACCCTTGACTCTGAAACTGGCAAAAATATACTCCCCACAGCAGTCTCTAGTTCTAATTATTTTTAAGCATGTTAGTTCTTGGTGGTAGTAAAGAGCAGTACCACCACCTCTCTGCATTTGACGACAGTTGTGAATTGCCGAGTAGTTAGGCATGTTAAAGAGTTGAGTATTATCCTCTTTCAACCACGTTTCAGTAAATTATCATTATCTTAATGGCGTAACTAATTAGCACTAACTACACAAACTAGAGGCCTATCCCTAATTACAGGTAACAGTTCTCACATCCTCCTATCCTAGTAGAGTAAGGTGAGGGGTAGTCACCAAATATAAGGAAGCGATATGAGAATACACAACCACCATCTGGTCACCATTTGGTCCGGGAGACATCTCCCGTCACGCAGGGTGCAGTCGCACCTCCACAGATCTCCAGTATCATCTATTGATACTGGTGATGGCTCAAAAGGGCCACCACTTACGAGCTATTCATGCCTGTGCCACCTTTTGGGTGGCTTCATCTTCATCTTAACACATTCACAAGGGAGACATCTCCCGTCATGCAGGGTGCATTCGCACCTCCACAGATCTCCAGTATCAGCTCCTGATACTGGTAATGGCTTAAAATGGCCACCACTTACGGGCTATTTATGCCCGTGCCACCTTTTGGGTGGCTTCATCTTCATCTTAACACATTCACAAGGGAGACATCTCCCGTCATGCAGGGTGCATTCGCACCTCCACAGATCTCCAGTATCAGCTCTTGATACTGGTAATGGCTTAAAATGGCCACCACTTACGGGCTATTTATGCCCGTGCCACCTTTTGGGTTGCTTCATCTTCATCTTCTTCTGTAGAAACGGCCACACTTGGTCCGGGAGACATCTCCCGTCACGCAGGGTGCAGTTGCGCCTCCACAGATCTCCAGTATCAGCTCTTGATACTGGTAATGGCTCAAAAGGGCCACTACTTACGGGCTATTCATGCCCGTGCCACCTTTTGGGTGGCTTAATCTTCATCAATCATCAATCAATCGAATACACAACCACGGGAGACATCTCCCGTCACGCAGGGTGCAGTCGCACCTACACAGATCTCCAGTATCAGCTCTTGATACTGGTAATGGCTCAAAAGGGCCACCACTTACGGGCTATTCATGCCCGTGCCACCTCTTGGGTGGCTTAATCTTTATCAATCAATCAATCAATCGAATAGACAACAGTACAATTTCCAGTCAAGAATATAGCACTCGGCGTAGGCAGTTCTAATCGACCCAAGACACTACAGCTTCGACAGACATACAGCGGGTCGTATTATACGGACATAGGATTAAGGACCTATGCCCAAAACGCTATGCGTGTTAATGGCTGTACAAGAATGTAAGAACTCCTGTATGTATAAATAAAAATCTAAATAAATAAACATTTCAGGGATATTCGTTACTATTCATGATTGCTGATTACGTTTGCTATTAAAGTAATCTATCCGGAACAATAGTGCAATTACAATAAAATTTTTCCATCCAGTTCAGAAAAAATATTATGAAAGAAAGAATAAGCATTATTTAAGTAAATATCAAATTAATTTGACGGGGAAGGGAATATATATATATATGTTAGGAGCGCCAGGAAGCGTTTGCTAGCTGGGCCGCCGTCGCCGCCGCCGCCCAGCTGTGTCAGATGTCAGCCGACAGTGTAAACAAAGTTGAGCTGCATTCAACGTTGTCAGCAAGATATGCCAGATAATGCCCCCAAGAGGACCAGTACGATTATCTTCTTAACTTCATGGACTTTGGCCACTTTGGTGGTTGTTGCAGTCGTGCTTATTGGTGGAGAAATTGGTGAGTCATTTACTGAAGTATGTCCTGCCCAATTACAGCCCTGAATGGGGGTGAAATGTATTGTTGAGGGTAATAGGGGATTATATTACTAATGGGTACTGCAGGTGTTGAGAGGGTCATGATACTATTGCTGGTAATGGGGGGGGGAGGGTGTCGTATTGCAATACAGTAAAGGGGTCATACAACTATTACAGGTAATGGATGTTCATGCTATTCAAATTCAAATGTTTATTCAGGTAGAGTACATACATACAAGGGGTACATACCACAAGGAGTACATACATACGATGAATTTATAGATAGAGCTAGTATATACAATGCCTAAAGCCACTGTTACGCAAAGCGTTTTGGGGAGGAAAAACACTAAAGACTAAAACTTAATACTAATTGAGATTAGAGTATAAAATATGTTGAGAGAATATAAAAATAAAAAAGGGGGAAACATGGCTGAAAACGCAGCACAAATACAATTAGGTCGACAAGCAGCGTTGTTTAAGAAAACAGACATTGGTTGACAATATAGGGGTAAGGTAGGTTACAGGGAATTTATTAGTTAGTGCTTCGTTTTTATCTTAAACTGGTTGAGGGAGGTACAGTCTTTAACATGGTTGGGAAGGTCATTCCACATTCTGGGTCCCTTGATTTGTAGAGCATCTCTAGTTTGATTAAGTCGTACTCTTGGAACACAATTAAAAACACAATTTTGAAATACCATAAAAGGCTAGACCTAAACTTATGTGGAGGTGCTAATTGTGATGATTTTGCCACTATTAGTTTTGTGTATTACAGTACACTGAAAATTACATTACATTATAATCTAAAACTGTCAGACCATGACAATCCCAGTAATCAATCTTGAATCACATTATTTTTTCCCACTAGCACCCACTCCTTGGACTCAAATCACAGTCCAAGGAACAAAGTGTTTTCAGTCACCAGTGAATGGATGGTACTTCTCAGATGGAAAACACGACTGCCTCAGTGGGTTTGATGCTACTAACATTAAGAGGACCATTCATCCAGACAACACATATTATACTTTTCAGGTAAATATAAGGTTTTTTTTTAATTGAAAATGTACTAAAATACCTGGTATTGAAATATTGATAATTAAACTGATTTATTTGAATTCATAAAGCAAATGCATGCTTTCTCATTAATGGGATTTTTTATCCTATACAATAGTTTTGTTGGTATCCAATAGGTATAGTGTTATCATTTTCCAGCCCAAGATTTAGGGAGAGGGAAGGCTTGAGCCCAGAGCAGATATACATTTTTTTGACTCGTAGCAATATATAGAGCTTATGACCAGCTAGTGAAAATGGTTTCTAGATCCTTTCCTTTCATCCACAATGAAAGAATACTATACTGTATAATAAGCCTGATACTTTTCTAAAAGATATCTATATCCCTGAACTGCTATTAAAATGGTTTCTGGATTCTAGTTTCTACTTGTGAAAAGGTATCATAATCTTGTACCATCAATCAGACAGTTTCTGAATCCTGTACCTCACTGTCAAAGTATTTTGTCACTACTACACTCAATTACTTTATAATAATGGCATTGTAATTAAATATGTTTACTATACAGTATCTTGACCTTTCACTGACAGGTCCCTCAGATGAAAGACAGCACAGCACCAAGGCTCTCTAGATGGCAATGGAGACTATACGGAGTTTTACGCCTGCACCTTCTGATAAATGATGGTAGATCCTTGAGTGTATCAGATTTGTAATCATGTCATATACAGTATTCAGTTTTGAAGACAAGGTAATTATCATGTCAAAAGAAAATGTGTAGTTTTTACTTATAAATTATATCCACTGAAATAATTCATACAGTACATCTATTATATTCTATATACAGTACTTTGTATATTTAGTGGAGCCTCAAAATCCAGACATCAACCTAACAGAGCCCTTGAAAGTTTGGATCTATTTGACTAGTAGAAGAGTTTTCACCAGTCTGTAACACAGAACATGAATTTCAAAGACATTGCTGAAATTCAAGACAACTTGGCATAATATTTTCTTGTCAGTCATGTCTTGGCTATAGTGCTGTACTATACATGTATTTCCATTATTCTTATGCATTAATGATAAATATTATTAAATAATTTATATTTTTCTATGATGTATGTAAATGTTTCACTGTATTTGCACTGTATTATAAAGACCAATATTATACCTGAAGTACTGTATTATGACTCTCTTTATGGGTACCTTAGATCTCTTGACAGTTAATGTGATATATATAATGAGTCTGGATATTTTAGGTTCCACTAGTGTACAGTATAATTTTTGTATATATCATATTACAGTACTGTTCTTATAATTCATATTACAGGGCATATATCAAGGCACAGTAACGATATAGTACTGAAGTCCCGTATAGGGTACATGGATGATGATGACATGTACAATCCAACACTGATTGCAGAAAATTATCAAGAACGGAAACTATACTGTAATTATGTAAGAAAGCACACGTTTGATGGAATGATGTATGACTGCTCTCCCCAGGTGGTGGTAGTTCTCTACTCGCTCCACCATGACTACTACCTCATCAACATTATGATTCCTCATCACAGAGATGATACAAATGAATGGGTTAATCGGAATTTTGGACGTGTTAAGGATGCATATATAACAGTGAGTGAATTGTCGATTAGTCTAATTGGAAAAAGGAAGAATTCTACCTTAGATGCGATAATAAAGATAAAATATAATTTTAAAGTATTCTAGAATAGGCTTACTACATAATCATTATTAGATAAATTGTAGAGATATTTTATTATGCACAATGTTATACATTACCTATTTACACACATTAAAAAAAATGTGGCCAGAATTTTTAATCTCGGGAAAGCATTAATTTTCTGTATTTTGCCCGACAGTTTTTCAGCCAGACTGGCTGGTACACAAAGCTGCTGGTGTCACTTCAAACAGTTTTCTTTCCTGTTCTGTCCGCACTCTTATGGAGATTCAGGAAGTGTGTTGGGGAGCTGGAGCGACCTCCTACACACCTTGAGTGCGTCTTGGCACTCTTGGCTGTGGCTCTTATAGTAATGAACTGTAAGTCTAAACCATATCTTATTATAGATTTTGACTTCCAGGTTTTGCCTTCCACAGTATGGTATTTCACATAGAACCTCCAGCAAATTTAGGATTCCCTGCATGTCTGCCCAGTTTTGATAGGGACATTTAATATCCATATTTAAGCCTTTGCATTACCTTGTGTTATTTCTATGTACATATCACTCGCATCTTTATTTAATTTCACACTCCTTCATTCATTATGTAGTTTTCTTAGAATGCTCATATTCTTAAGTATGATAACACAGTCCATCTGTTATGATTATGCTAGTCCACTACTAAATGTTTTGTTGCCTTGTCCCTTCTTTTAATAGTAAATATTTTATATTGTTTCAAGTTCTTCCATCGAGAAGTCATTGTCTCGTCTAGTTGTTTGCTTGGTTTGAATATTGTATTTATACATTTAAGTATCAGAATTCACATAAATATACTAATTGATTACATGTGTGTGGTAAGATCAGTGTTAAAGTACTATACATGTGAGATAAAATGAGTGTAATGGGAATATATTTATAGTTGTCAGATCACATGCTAGTACTGTACTATTTTAGTTGAGATTTAATGGTGAATGAAAGATGATGTACTGTACAGTGGTACCTTCGTTTATGATCCTAATCCGTTTCCAGAGACAGGTTGTACACCAAAACTTCGTAAACCAAAAAGAATTTTCTCATTTAAAATTATGTAAATTAAATTAATCCATTCTACACCCCTCAAAAATATTAACTTAAAAATACATTTTATACCGAATACCACTCTTTCTGGGGGGAGCCCCGTCGGCTCCCCGGAGCTATACCAGGCTGATATGCTAATGTCAGACTTTGGCATTAGTCGTGTATGGAGTTCTAGGGCCTACCGGGGACCACGGCCAGAACCTGGCCCCCTCAGAGAGGCAAGGGGAGCAATGGCCTATAGAAACCCCCCCCGTGTGGTTGGAAGCATTCTATGTCTGCCATCGACCGGGTCAAGCATCCAGAAAGGTAAGCATTACAAAACAAACCCCTATTCTGGTTAAAATTGCTACCAAAAGCTGAACTAGTGGATAGAACTCCCCCAACAGAAAACAAGCAAACTAGTATGACATCACACATCACCACGCCGCTGTCTGCGCAGCTCCCCCCTTCCCGGGAGGGGGAACGGGAAGCCCCAGACCTCTCACGCCGGCTATCCACCCTTCAGTTCTTCAGCTGATGCTATAGGCACCGGTTGTGTGCTCCGGCTCCATTAGTTGTTTCAGCACTGTACCTAGAGTGTGGTGTCTGTCTTCTAGGTGGTGTGTGAGCCGGGAGTGAGTCTCCAGTACTTGGGCTACATGTGCCTAGGGTTACCTTCCCTAGGTGCCCTATATGTACTGCCCTTGGGGCCACCTTCCACAAGTTCCTTAGGTTCTGCCCCTGCTAGGCTGTTTACTGATTGGTTTTCGGTCGCCCTTTGTGTGCTCGGGTGTTCTGTCTCCCTTGTTCGCCTTCGGGTAAGGGGTAGTTTTGCACTGGTGGGGCGCAGGATGCTGCGCAGCTTGTTTTCACCTATATGGCGGCCGGCTCTGTTCCGCCTGGGTACTCCGACCTCTTGCGAGGTTTTCTTTCTAATTTAGTTTATCTGCCTGGTGGGAGGTCTGCCTTCGTTCTTGCCCCCTGTGTCCCTTGTGTTCTGAGTATTATTCTGGTGGTTTCCCCTGCTAGGTCCCAGTGAGTGTACACGTCCCGGGGTTCAGTTCTTAGAAAGTTGTTTGGTAGCTTTGGGCGCCAGTTAGCAGTACCCTGCCTGGGATTACCTGAGCGCGAGTCCTATTATAATAAACGCTCGGGACCCTGGGTCATATCTATTGGTCCCTGGGTGCACGGGTCCGATAGATATGACCCCGGGGTACCCCCTCGCTTCCAGCGAGTTTGAGGGTTGCTCTCACCCCTTGTTTCAGGGTGACTCTGTTTTGCCTCCGTCTGTTGCCTGTGGGGTCGGTGACACCTTCGACCCGGAGTCCTGCGAATTTGTTGCTCGTTGTGGCTCGGTTACCCAGTTGTATGCTGACTATGCGGGTGCAGGCAGCAGGGGTGTTACACGTTGAGCTTTGGTGGTGGCAACACTCGTTTGTTTGCTCCCCGGGAGCCCCGGGGTTGCCCTGTTTTGGTTGGTGTTGGGACATGGGGGTGTTGGTTGCTTCGGTTCCTTCCATGCCCCCTTGTCTTTCCCCTGGATGCCCCCTTCCTACCTCCATCCGGTTCCTTACCTTCTGTGGGTTCGGGGTCGGGGCGGGGTTCGATGGTTTTGAGATTCGAGCGGTCTCGGGGAATTCCCCTTCCAGGGTAGTGACGGGGGCATTCGAGCCTGTTCCTCCAGCCGTGTTGTAAGAGTCTGCCAGTAGGTTCCCTTCCTTGGTATTTTTGCGGCTGCCCCGGTTTTCTGGTGTGGCCGGGGCTTTGGAGGGACAGCTCGGCCCCGGGGCCTGTCGTGTGGGTTCCCGGGGCTGGGGAGGGGCTGATTTGGGGGGGCCTAAGGCCCTGTAGAACCCCGCGGGGTTTTCTTTCTACCCTCTAGGCGGGGCTTGTGGTTACGTGGAGTGGGGTTTTTCCTCCCCCCTCGCCGTACGAGTTGTTGGATGTCGGTCTCTCCCCGGGCTTGGTTCCTTGTCCTTTGAGTCGGTTGGTTCCGTCCTGTAGGTGGGTGCTCTTCTTCATTGCTCCCCCCTTTTTTTCTTTTGACCGTCCCTTTGACCTTCCTCTGTGGGTAGTTAGCTCCGGGGAGCCGACGGGGCTTCCCTCAGAAAACCAACGTTGAATGTAATGAAACGCCATTTTCTGGGTGAGACCCGGGGGCTCCCGGGCAACCCTCCCTTCCTCCCGGTCGGCGGTTTTTTGAGTGTTTTGACATCCAGCCTCAGAACTGATGGGTGGATAGCCGGTGTGAGAGGTCTGGGGCTCCCCCTTCCGGGGAGGGGGTAGCTGTGCAGACAGCGGCGCGGTGACGTGTGACATCATACTAGTTTGCTTGTGTTCTGTTGGGGAGTTCTATCCACTAGTTCAGCTTTTGGTAGCAATTTTATTTTGTACTACAATACAGTATGTATATCTTACCTTTATTGAGGACTCTTGTTGGGGTATGGAAGATGGTGAAGAGGGGAGAAGAGGTGTTAGTGTTTGGAAGGGGAATCCCCTTCTCATTATAACATCAGGCAGACATGACTTTTCTGGGGTACACTCTCTCTCTTCTACATTTTGCAGGCTTACCACTAGGACCTGGTTGTGGCTCACTGCTTATTTGACTCGCTAAAAACCTGTCTATTGACGCTTGTTTTTCCCTATGTTTTAACACTTGTCTGTAGTGAGACATCACAGTCATTAAAAAAGTTAATTCAATAGCCTGTTACAGCTATATCTGGGTGACACTTTTCAGTAAAACTTTGCAATTCTTCCCATACTGCACACATTTTCTTAATGAGGAAGGGATATCAACAACCCGCATACCATTTTTGTGTTTACGAATGATCTCTTGTTTTTCCTCTATCATCATCCTCGCAACTATTTTCTTAGGTTGAACTTTACCACTGACTTTCTTGGGACCAATGGCATGATATACAGTATAATAACTTTTATGTTCAGAAACCAAAAACAAAGCACAAAAACAATGAAATTCTTTACAAAGAATTCAAGCGCAATCATCACTGAGCAGGTAGGCGGGATACACTGGTAAACAATCGCCCCTTGCCTCAGCGCCACGCACTCGTTCGACCCAAACATGTATCATCAGACATTGTATTCCAAGGAAAATGTCGTATGCCAATTCAAATTTTACGATGAATTTGACTTCGTATACCAAAAAAAAATGTACTCTAGGGCAGTTGTACACCAAGGTACCACTAATATGTGTGTATATGTATGTATGGTATTGAGAGTTCTCAGATATTTTTGTGACATTGCAGGTCCCTTGGAGTTTGTAACGCTCATTGCTGACTGTCCCTGGATGATAGTAATTAATGATATTCGACATAACTTTTTTTATGCTTCATTCATGACTTTCTTCCTCTACCTCACTGACAAACATCTTGAGGTAAGAATGTTGTAGACACTTCACAGTGCATGAAAAATACTCTTATGTGAAGTCATGATTATGCATGTGAACACGAGCATGCCCAAGTACAGTATACTCGGACATGTGCACACACGCACTTATATACACGGAACACTATGAGCACGTAACTACAGATAGGTAATAAGTGTGAAAAAGCTTGAAGATAGAAGGAAAGGAGGTCATGTTATCACCGTATACAAAATAGTGACAGGAATTTGCATAGTGGACAAGGAAAAATTTGTGAAATCTGCAAACTACAAGAACAAAAGGCTAAAGATTCAAAGTAGGGAAACAAAGGTGCCTAAAAATATACAAACGTTCTCTTTCTGTGAACAGAGTTGTAGATGGTTGGAACAGTTTAAGTCGGCAGGTTGTGGATGCCAAAACCATCAATATTTTCAGTGTCATATTACAGGGATTACTGTATAGGTAAGACAGGACACTACAAGTATAGCTTTCATCCTGTAACTACACATAAGTAGTTACACCCCCACCCTTCATACTCCTTTATTCCCAGTCCATACCCAAGTCTTTATTCTCATATTTCAGCATTATCAAAATGGAATTTATTGCACCTGTGTTCACTCACAGGTCTGTATTTTGTTAGTAGTGCTCCTCCAGAACAGACCATATTACAGTATATATCCTTCAAAACCTACCCACACACAAATATCCAGCTCTTTCCAACATCCCTTTTCTGGGGGTGCCCCATCGGCTCCCAGAGCTATCCAGGCTGAATGGATACAGTATGTATAACTTTCTGGCATCAGTCAAAGTGCTTGGAGTTCTTGCCTACCGGGGACCACGAGCCAGAACCTGGCCCCCTCAGAGAGGCACAAGGAGCAATGGCCTATTGAAACCCCCTGTGGTTGGGAGCATTCTGTGTCTGCCACTGACCGGGATAGGCACCAAGAAAATTGGGTGCCCCAAAACAAACCCCTATTCTGGTGAAAATATTGCTACCAAAAGCCGAACGACTGGACAGAACTCCCTGAACAAAATTATCAAACTAGCATGACGTCATCACGTCGCCACGCTGCTGTCTGCACAACCCCCCCCCCCCCCCCTGCCCTCCCAGGGAGGGGGAAGGGGGGAGCTCCAGACCCTCACTTCCGGTGAGGTTTCCCTCTAGTCTTTTCTCGGACTCGTTGGTCCTCTTCCGTGCTTCTTTTCTTCTTTTGTTTCTGTTTTTGCATTATTTAGTCTTCACATTGTGTCTCCTTCCTGTCTTACCATTCCTATTATTTGTTCCGTATGCCTTGCTGGCGCCCTCCCCCGAAGACAGGTGTGCGGTTTGGTCCTCAAGCGCAGGGTCTGGGGGAGGGGTTGTTTTGGGCGGTGTACACGCGAGTTGGTGTTCCGTCGTCTTTCTCGCGGATTTTATGCTGTTCTCACTCCTCTTATCTCTGGTCATAACTCTCTGGATACTTGGGGTGTTCTCGATTTTGTGTGGGGTGATCTTCCAGTTCTTTTCTCAGCTTGTGAGTGTGGGGCGGCTCCGAGTGGCGCTGCCTTCGCCTCTGTACTGCATGCACCTCGTCTTCTCCTACTGGGCATGCACCTCTGGACATTCTCCACTTGGGATGCTCCTGTTACATTGCACAGCTCAGCTGTGTCATGACACGATGGTGTTTCTGTTCTGCAGGTGAGATTGTACTGTCTGACGACTCTGTCGGCCAGGTGCTGGTTCTAGCTTTTTGGTGGGGTCCTCACCTAGTTGTGCTTGCGGGGGGGGGGGGGGGGGGGGGGGGGGTTCTATAGGTCATTGCTCCTCGTGCACCTCTGAGGGGGCCAGGTTCTGGCTCATGGTCCCCAGTAAGCAAGAACTCCAAGCGCTTTGATGCCAGAAAGTTATACATATCCACTCAGCCTGGATAGCTCCGGGCAGAGTCCGGGACTCGCCCAGAAAATGGCGTTTCATTACATTCAACGCTGGTTTTTTTGTAAGAGATTGTTTCATTTATTTAGCTTTCACACTCAAAAACTTGGGAGACTTTCTCCTTTTATCATGCTGTCTTGCCTTATTTTAATTAGAAACATGTTTCCATCCTGTTTTCCACAGACTCTTCTGCCACCATAATGTTTTTTTATCAACTCACAAGAGGGCACTTGATACCCTGTATGCTCATGTACATGTATGTGTGCAAGTTTCCTTTCATTCTTTCTCTTGTGCACATCGTCTAACATACTATGTAGTTCTCATCCTGTAACTACACATAGGTAATTACAGAAAATGTACACTTGCATGCATACCCTTGCTGCAGTATATGCAGTTACACGACTGCACACTTATTTATGCTCATTCACTTAGCATCACACATGCTTATTTGCACATATGATCATGCATGTACTATATGCTCACATATACATTTTGATCAAGTAAGAACATTTTTGAAGAGCTAGGATTAGCAAATTGTCCCGAGTTTACAGGCTCTTCAATGAGGATAGCAGTAACAAAGATTAATCATAGCAATCCCATTGGATGCCACCTGCAAATGTCAGGAGACCAAATGTGGAATTAGACAAGAACATTGGAGGCATCATAAACATAATAGAGTGAATGTCTGTAGCCATAGATAAAGAGGCTTGAACCAGTAAAGAATGGGAAACTTCAGCTACTGTTCCAAAAAATAGTAGAAAGCTTGCTTTACCAATGGTGAAAAGTAAACATTGAGAGTGAAGTTTATATATATATTAGAGAAGTTCTTCAATTAGCATGCTAAAGAACTTATGAGTGAAGATTAACCAGCCAAGTACTAGATCTGATAAGGTGGCAAGTACTTACAGCTACTATATCCTCATGATGCTCACCCAACCACTTGGACTGGATGGTCGAGCTACGGTCTCACTTCTTGCAAGTCGGCGTTCAATCCCCCAACTGTCCCAAGTGATTGGGCACCATTTCTTTCTTTCGTCCTATCCAAAATCTTTATTCCCTTATCCCTTCCAAGTGCTATATAGTCATAATGGGTTGGTGCTTTCTCCTGATAATTACCTAACCTTACCTCATGATGCTCCCTGTTGCATGATAAAGTAAAAGATCAGCCAAAGCTATTACACAAATATAATTGGTAATTAGAGACCAAGTAATCAGTTTGAGAGAGAACACTTAACTGCTCACAAGTAACAACTAGGAAGTCTGTAAAAAATAATTGAAAGATGTCAGATGTTTAAAATTGAGGATTGATGGGCAATATTGGGAGAGAGAGAGAGAGAGAGAGAGAGAGAGAGAGAGAGAGAGAGAGAGAGAGAGAGAGAGAGAGAGAGAGAGAGAGAGAGAGAGAGAGAGAGAGAGAGAGAGAGAGCGCGCGAGCCTGAGAGAGAGAGAGAGAGAGCGCGCGCGCGAGCCTGAGAGAGAGAGAGAGAGCGCGCGCGCGAGCCTGAGAGAGAGAGCGCGCGCGCGAGCCTGAAAGAGCTCTGTATGAGTAAGAAAGCAATCTACGACAAGAGCTTGACATGGATTCTATGTCTGGCACTCTGAGCAAGTTGCTACTATTATTATGTATTGCTGAAAATGAAAGAAATCAGAGAACTGGAAAACAGTCGATCAAGCACTATACTGTATTAATACCTGTACTGGATTCCATGAAGGGAACAGACAGGATGTACTAACTCAAGTCCAGAATCCTGACATGCATCCCTGTAAAAAAAGATGCAAAGGATCCCAAGAAAAATAATAGTAGCCCACCTAGGGAGTTAGAGATATGGGTGTGTGAGACGGTATTACTTTTGTGAGTGTAGCAAGTTGGTTAAATTTCCTTGATGATGTACTGGAGGCAAGCGTTATACAGTACATGAATTAAAATGTAAATACCAATTGACAAAATCCATGGGGTTGAGGATGATGCACATAAGGTAATTGATAGTTGAGAGGCAAAACCTCGTGGGAGCCGAGCTTGTTTCTTTGAAGCACATTTAGGTTAGCACACAACAAGTTAAGTGAGAAGGTGGTGGAGGCTAAATCTGTCAGTAGTTTCAAAGCATTATTTGAAAAGAGTACCTGCATTGGGAAGACGGAACACCACGAGTGTAGCTCTCGTCCTGTAACTACACTTAGGTAATTACACACACACGAAGGTAAACACATGTTTACACAAATATATACTATATGAATACATGTGACTATTGATGCAGGTACAGTATGATTAATGGAATTATATCCTACACTAGATTTCCATATATGCATGAATATACACACATGGCTATGTACATGTATGTTTGTTTTCTTAGCAGTGCTTTATTATGATACCCTTGAAAATAACTGCAATATCCTCTTAGCCCTGTGAAAAAATGTAAAAACAATTATTAAGAGTTCATGGTTGTATTGTACTTGTTCCAATTTTAAGTGTTTTCCAAATCTTTTATATTTTTGATGTATCATGCAACATTTTAAAATATTTTGTGATATATAATGAGAGATCAAGAATTAATGTACATTATATGGAAGACCAGAGTGTTGTAAGTGCAAGTAGATGTGAGGTGTGTGAACAATTGCAAGTGTAAATGGAGAGATGTGTGTGAAAATTTACAAATGGAGATACAGTATTAATGTGTTTTGTAAAAACTTCAAAATGTACAGTACACTAGTTGTAAGTGTAAATGGTGAGATAAATGAGTTAAGTGGAAAGTTTAAAGTGATACCTGTACTTGGATGGCTATGGATAGGACACATTCTCGACTATTATATTTGATAAAGAGAACAGTGAAAAAGGAGAAGCTGATCAAAGGATGAGCAGTGTAGAAATACCTGTAGTATGCCTCTTGGCTGAGAAATTCAATTTTGAATAGGCAAATCAGGTTTTTCTGGGGGGAGCCCCTTCAGCTCTCTGGAGCTTACTAGGCTGATATGCTAATGTCAGACTTTGGCATCAGTCATGTGTATGGAGTTCTGTGGGCCTACCGGGGACTGCGAGCCAGAACCTGGCCCCCCCCTTAGAGAGGCATAGGGAGCAATGGCCTATAGAAGACCCCGTGTGGTT